ATATAAATTATAAATTTTAAAAAGCTTATAAACATACATTTTTGAATTTGATAGATGAAAATTATGCCAGGTAAAAAGTAAAAAGAAAATACCCCTGTAAGTCACTTTAAGGAGTAACCTCGTATTAGGAAGGCTAATTTTTTATCAGAATTTTTTATTATTGATCAGAAGGTGCTCCTAAATTTTTTTAATTAGGAGGACAAGCGCTCCTAATTACAAGAAGAAAAAAATGCTTTTAAACTGGGTGTGTGACGGGTATGGCTGTGGAACATATAGGACAAAAAATGGTCCTATATGTTCTGTCAAAGACAGAACGAAACGGCACTAATGATTGGGGGTGGAGATGGGGTAGCGTGAAAAAAAAAAAACGGCATGCGTGTTGATGCGCAGCCTAGAGCCCTGAGCGGGACAGTTTTCTTAAACCCGCTCCCGCTGTATTTCTGACCATTACCGCCCACTCCCGCAACATGTGTCCCGCTCCTGCAAACATTGTAATATTGTATATAATTTTCGCACATCAGGGAGCCGTTATCAATATGCGGGGTATTGAAATCGCATTTGAATGAGCGCTAGCTGTTCACTTTCGATTTCGCGATCACGCGCACTCTGTGTAAAGGGAGCAATCTTACAGTGCGTGCATAATTATTAGGCACGTTGGTATTCTGATCATATGGTTTTCCAAGCACGTTTTACCAATTCCAAACCACATCAATCTTAATAACTACTATTATTTTTGTATTTAATCATTTAGAAGTGATATATAATTGTCCATGAAGGCTGGAAATGAAAAACTCATTAAGGTGTGCAGAATTATTAGGCTGGTTTTCTTTTATGAAATGAAATGAGCCAAAAAAGACATTTAACTCAGACTGAGAAGTCAAAAATGATTAAATCCCCATGAGAAATATAAAAAACTAATGCAGTACAGAAATTTCAAAGTTAAGGCATGACCAATTTGTCAGCAAAATGCTCATTGGGTCAGTGGGGTCAGTACTTCTCTTGGGTAAAAAAACTTAAGGTGTGCAGAATTATTAGGAAGGTTTTTTTTTTACGGGTGAAATGAGCCAAAAAAAAAAAGGAAAAAAGAGATTTAACTCAGACTGAGAAGTCAAAAATGATTAAATCCCCATGAGAAATATAAAAAACTAATGCAGTACAGAAATTTCAAAGTTAAGGCATGACCAATTTGTCAGCAAAATGCTCATTGGGTCAGTGGGGTCAGTACTTCGCTTGGGTAAAAAAATCCTAAAAAATGACCTCTACTAAATAAGAATAACATTATGAAGTGTTGTGAAATACACAAAGACTATTTATATAGGCTTTATGGGCAGATAAGTTGAGAGTGACTCTTGAAGGACCAGCACCACATCCTCTTGTACCACTGTTTGAAGAATTGATCTTCCAGAATCTAGCAGTAAGTTTTAGGAGCTCATTTTTGTC